TGGATCCACAATTACCACTGTAAGGCCAAGAGCCATGTGATCCTCAGAGTCCACAGAAATACATCACCCAACTTAATCACATGCTCCAGCTTAAGCAAAGGTCAGCCTCCAAATCCTACCAGGACTCTCTTTACCACCTGAGGTTGCATCCTCTTTCCATCCTTAGGGACACTTCAAACTTCCCCGAGTTTAGCAGCAACGCAAAAACCCGTTCCTGGGGTTGCACGTGCCACGATGCAGAACGGTCCTGTTACCACCCTCATAATATGCCGCTTCAGAGGCTGCCGCTAGAATAGCCTATCCCCATCGCTTCTTCCTGCAACCCTTCTACCAACAGCGCTTCTGAACAAATTTTCTTTTCTTTTTTAGGGGAGGTGAGGGGGTAACCGGGAATCAAACTGAGGACCTTGCACTTGGCAGGCAGGTGTTGTACCGCTAAGCTATCTCCCCAGCCCAAGTTTATCTATCTATCTATCTACCTATTTATATTTGGGACCAGAATTGAACTCACAACCTTGCACTTGTCAGGTAGGCCCTGTGCCCCTGAGTTATATTCCTGGTCTGAACAAGTTTACAACAAGTCAGTATCCTTAAAATAACACCTACTAGCGAGAGCTTTTAAAGAAAACCAGAACCATCAAGGAAGATTCCCGGCAGCTGACACTGATGCATTAGCGTCTTACCCAGCAAATTTTGCAGATGCTTGGCATTTTGGGGATCAAGCTGTTGCTGGGGATTTCTGTAAAAATGAAGAAGAGTTCTGAAACAATGCACCGATCTAAAATAAGCAAAAGAACTGGAAACCTCTCCTCATCCTGTCTTCCCACAAAGGGACTGACTGCCCTCCAAACCTCGTCATAGGGCTGGTTCCCTTCCTTGAACATTTCTCAGCTTTTACATTCATTTCCAGATTCAGGAATCCGTCTGCTTCTATAGATTCAGATAGATGTGTGCGAGGAAAATGCCGCCGACGCCCATTTATTCTCTTGGTGGGAAGCCAACGTCTCTCTAGTTTCTCTACCTCTTTTACTGAGGGATGGAAAGGAGTAAAAGAAAAGTCTCTGAGGACATAGGAAAATGGCTACTGATGTTTATTTCCAAAAAGAAAGCACTAGCTCATCCCTTCTATGTAGTTTTAGCCTTCCACTCCCTGACTCTCTAACCAGCCAAAACTATCAGTCCACCTACCAACAGCTGTGCTTCCATGATCGTCAAGATTTTCTTTTCAATTGTTCTGGGTAGGTGGGTGACACATCACATCCAGGAACTTAAATCCTGAACTTCCAATTTTTTAAGTTATTTTAAGAGATATTTTAGATCTGACTTGTTGCTCCAGCCTTTTAGTAATAAGTATCAATAACTTATTCAGTGTACCAAGTAGTATCCTAATGTCTTACAATTAGCTGAGAAACACCTCACGAAATCCTTCATTCTCCTCAAATCACTTCTGATAGGTGCAAGAGAAAGTTCTCACATATTAAATTTGTTTTAGGAAGCTGCAAAGCCCTTCCCACAACCTTGGCCATTGCAAGTTGAAATTCAAGACAATCTAAATTCAGAAGCTCTTCCTTCAAACATTCTTGCTGTTAATGAATTACACAGGTACTCCACCTTCTGTGCCTTTGTGTTCCAAAGGAGGAAAGCTGTTCTCTTCATTTGGAACACAGTCTGTGATTATGGATCAGCTAATTACCTTGTCTGGTATGGAAGGGATGATGTAATTTCTACTTCTCTCTTCCATATGGATGGGGTTGCTGCTTTTAAACGCTGGGACTGCTGTTGTGCAAAAGCTTCTTCTAAGAACTTGCTTTAAGCCCATTTCTATGCCTACCATTAAGCTCCCTTGGCAACACAGGAAATTTTTTAAAAGCCAGCTAAACTAAGTTTCCAAGCTGAATTTCCATATATTCTTACCTATAAAAGGCAGGATTTTTTTTTTTCAGCACTTTCTGAGCTTCTTTCCAGCTTTTAATATTTTGATAGAATATCACTGTTACTTACAAAAGCAGATGGCAGCATGGGGAAAAATACTACCCATTCTTTCCTTCTAAAACTGTGTGGGGCAAAACCAAGCCCTCAGAGACTTCCAGATGCGCTAGGCAGGCTATTTACTTCAGTTATTAGCGCATTTCTCTTTCACAAAAGGACAACTTGGGGCTGGGGATTTAGCTCAGCGGCAAAAGCGCCTGCCTGGCAAGCGCAAGGTGGTGAGTTCAGTTCCCGGTACTGGAGAAAAACAAAAAAAAAAAACCAAAAGGACAACTTGTTGTTTTATTAATTAGATATTATCGCTAACCTTAGTGTAGAATGAATTAAAACTAAAACTACTTGGTGACACTTGATTTTAAAAGGGGAAAAGACTCCAAGGTAAACATTTCATAGAGAAAGAAATACCTGGCAAAATGCATCTCATTGAGCTAAGAGAAACTTGACCATGTCTGATATGGGTAGATAAATAAGCTTCATCTTAAAAATGGTAATTGCGTTAATATTGGCAAAAATAATAAATTGCTTTCCAAGGAAGAAGCATAAACCATAAAAAGACATCTGTGATCTATGCTCATGAACTTAAAATTTAGACCCAGGATGTAAGAGATGACTGCTGATTTATAAAATACCTTCATTGCATTGGATTCAAGTGCCAGTAAGTATTTTAGATCACCAATACCGTCATCCTTAATATATCCTTTCAGAACACTTAAGCAGCTAATGTAGTATTTCTTTTATGACAATCATAACTAAGGTTGCTTTGTATATTTTATAGATGCTAAGACAAAAGGAAGCCTGGTGAGTTGGTTAAGTGCACAGAGGAAATTTGCAATATTTTTTACAATACCTATACCACTCTATGATATTGAAGAATCATCATGAAATATAAAGATATAGAATACACCTTAGAAATACCTAACCCAGCCTCCTTTATGGTCATGTTTTCTCCACTCAGAATGGTCTTAGGGTTTTGCTCGTATCTTTTATATCACACTTGGCCAATAATTATAATAGGCAATATTATTTAGTGTTAACAATGTGCCAACCACTATCCTAATGCTGAACATGCATCAGCTCACTTTACCTTCTGTAGCTTCAATGACAAAGATACCACTTCTGCTCTCATTTTTACAGGTGGGAAAGTCAATGCCTAAAGGTTTACATTCCCTAATTTTGCACCATCACACTAACTTCTGCTCTTTATCACCTGCCTACAGTGGTGTCATTCCTAGTTTTGTTTCTAAAGTGAAAGTCCATTGAACGCACAGATGGACATGGCTGTTTCATTAGAAATGCTCCATACCACCAACCACACGTTCAGTAGACAAACAAAGGTATGACTTAGTAACTTCATTATACAGTACATGAATGCAGTTCTCTAGTCCCTCAGATCTTCTTTTGTACAATTTCAAACTTCCACAAGTCCCCAAGAGGTGGACTTCTTACCTCACCTAGGTTCTTTTTCCCACTAGCTTTTCACTGTGTTCGGCCAGTGGAAAGGGCGGAAGATTGAAGAGGGATCTGGGCTTTGGGATTGAACATTGGCTATTCATGATGTTTCATCAAAAGCTACAGCGTCTGCCTAGAAGCCACAGCTACAGCACCAACTATAGCTCCCTTTGGTGCCCAGTAGCTATTTATTCCCTTCAGATCTGGTGGTGACGATGGCGACCAGCCATTGTTAGCTCAGAAGCAAAGCGTCGTCTCTTTGGGGTTTCCCTTAACCTTCCCCACAACTTTTTAATTAGTATCTTTGTTAAATTCCCTTTAATTACCCTGTTTGTGCATGCCATCTGCTTCCTGCCAGGAACTTGACTAATAAATGAAAATAAACCTTGGAAAAATTAAGCAATTTGCTAATGATCACCATTTATATCTCCCTCATCAGATAATAATAGTCAACATTATTGAGTGCTTACTACATACTGGGTACTATTCTGAATGCTTATAGCTATTTGAGAATAGAGTTTAATATACTAATTAAAATATATTTCATCTCCTGTTCATACTTGCATATTCTCATTACAAATGAATGAACTTTGGCAGGTTATTTAACTCATCTACACCTCAACTGCCACAGAAAGGAAAAAGCGATGATGATGGCTGTTCTGAGATCTGTTCTCGAGTGTCTAATATGTGCTAAGTACTCAACCAACTTCTACTAGAATCTGTCCTTCATAGAGTCAATGTCATTTAAAAAAAATTCAAGGTTTATTAAAACAAATGAACAAAAAGACAATATTGCTTTTCTTAATTCTATTAAGATTTACACTGCTGGCTTTACTTGTGTCTTCTACCATGCATATTGATTAAATGTCTTGGAGAAAGCCAAGGCACTTTAATATTGACTATATTGACTCTTCCTCTTATAAAACAGAAAAGTAAATCTTCTGTCCCTTAGACAAATGCAACATGTTCTAAAGTCCAATATGCAAAACATTAAATCAGTTACCATTCTAAGGTGTTAATAGCAACTTTGAGCACTGTGGACAAAGAGAAACCAACACAATAGACCTTCTTTTCCCATACATTTTAGAATATTGCTAAGAAATATGGTCTTAGAAATCGTTAGATCATCTCATCTGGTGAAGAGAAAACCAAAGCTCAAGAACCAATGCTGATATGAAGAGTTGCATATTTGACAAAGTTGGGTCTATGTATCAGATGTCTCAACTCTTACTTCCCGAAAGAATCAGATCAGGTTGTGAACCCTACCCTAGAAAGCTGGACTTTTTGATAACATCCATACATACTAATGTAAATATTTTAAATCCAGTTATTTTTATATAACTTTCTCTCCAAATTGTCACCTAGAGAAATAACATCTTAGAATAATTTTGGTAGGATGTTGAATATGACTCCTGAGAATTTGAACTATGAGAGAAACACCAATGACACAAAAAATACACAGACCTGAAATCTACAAAATGAAACTGTTAAATAAAAGACCTTCCTTTCTTCTCAGAAACTCCTCTTTACCGTGGCTCCCACACTCACACAAACACACTCACCTCTTGTAAGTGTACAAGAACAATGTAGCGAAAAGGGCCCGGCAGAGAAGCAGGTAGCACGTGCTCTCCTCCCCAGTGCAGACAAGTTAGTCTTGGCTCAGGAAGGAAGATGTTTATCTTGAATGACTTGCTGAAAATTTGTTAGAAGACAATACCATAGATTTTGCTTCTCTGAATGTGGAAATAATTTGTTAATTAATGACAATGACCATAGAAGTTAAACATTTTTAATCGATTCAAGACCTCAAGGCAGTCATGCCGACACAATTAAAGATACTCATGAAAGAGAACTTCCAGAACTACTTTATAAAGTGACCAAAATGATAAGATAAATGGATTAGAAATGTGTGTGTAGGGGGTGTATTTTGAGAAAGATTAATGGCAATGTGTATTTTACTCTAATAATTTTTTAAACTTTACAAAATTATTCACCACATATTTTGATCACTGTTGTATAGTATTCCTCTGTATCCTAATTCACACACAGTGGAAAACAAGTTAAGGAAGGAAATTTAAAGGAGCAATATTATGGTTTGTGTCTGGTTGTGTCCCCCCCCCCCAGAGCCTGACTCAGGCAGTCATGGAGTGGCTTCTAGAGTTTATGATTGATTCATGGGTGTGAGTGCTACCCCCGCCCTGGGGAGGGTAGTCTGCATACAATATAAGGGAGGGAAAGAGCCTACTTGCCATGCTCCTCCCTTTTTCTCTTGTTGCTTTTGCTGTTTTCCACCACCATGAACTGTTGCCCTCTGCCATGTTCCACTCTGCCTCAGAGCCAGCCAAGTATGGACTGAAATCTCCACAGACTGTGAGCTAAATAAACCTTTCCTTCCTTAATTTGGGGTGTTGTGTATTTTGTCCCAGCAACGAGAAAAGTAACCGAGACAAGCAATGACAGCAATATTTTCTGTTTGCATGCCATTGAAAGCGGCAATTTAGGTGAGATAGCTATAGGTATATTTTTATACATGATTCAAGAATATTGAAATGATAGTGTATTTTTATAAAATAAGGACAGAAAATCCTAAAGCTGTTTGATTCTTTTGTGAAAAAAAAGAGAATTAAATTCAGTATTTCAAAATATGGAACAAAATGTGTAACACTGCAACAGTTGGTCCAACTGATTCCTGCTATGGACCTCTTCCTAAGCACCCATCCTCCCTTCCGGTCCCCTCCTATTTCACAGCTCAGTGCCCAAACAATTAGATCCCTCACTCAATCCAAGGGGTCTTTGGTCCACAGACTTAGACCACCAATATAGAGCATCTGTCGTAAGCAGCATAGAGGAGGGAGTAACAATACCATGCACTCAATCAGTCAACAAGTACTGAGCCCACAAATTCTAGGTACTAGTATAGGACACAATACAGCAACAAATAAAGTTCATGCCATTTAAACCTTATGATGTAATAGAAATGCCAGAAATAAACAAAATGTACATATAATATCAGAAAACACATTTTAAAAATAAAGTAGAGTAAGTCTGCATAGCCTGATGGGAGATAATATTTGGAGAGTCACAAGAGATGACACTCTAACGAGTCTTGTAGCTTCATGGGGCAAATTGAGCTCCAGGAAGAAAATTGTGTACAAAACCTTTAGGAGAGGTACACTTGTTATGCTACAGAAGCAACAAGGAGACTGATGAGCTAGTGTATAATGGTGGGGAGTAAAGTCAAATATGTAAAAGAGGTAGATCTTGTACTGTGGTGCTACAGTGTTTTGTTCCAGCTTATCACTGTGATGTACCATTTAAATATACTGAGGATAGGAGAGTAACTTCTCATGGTACCCCTTCCCCGGGCTGCCTCTAACTTATCTCATTTTATCTTCTTGATTGTAAAAACCTAACATTCATTATAATGAAGAATATACACTGGAAAATTAAAGATCTGGGAGTGTAAGGTAACATTCTTACTACTGGAAAAAATGAAAGGATTCTCTAATTCAGGCAGAAAAATGAGTTAGAAAAAAATAAAAAACAGTAATTGCCAACAAAACAGGTTAAGCTCTTTCTATTCCTCTGTGATTGGTAGAACTGATAGGTTTGGGTTTCGGTTGTTCCTGTTGATGTTGTTTTTGGACAGGGAATCCCAGCCGGGTATAAAATAAGTAAGCAAAGTAGAATGAGTTCATATGCTGTATAGATAAGCAAAAACAATAATTAAAAGTTGTTGATTTTTCACATGTATTGTGAATATTTTTTTCTAACTAATCATTTGTTATGTGCTTTATTTATTTATTTTTTGTTTGTTTGTTTGTTTGTTTCTGGTACCGGAAATCAAACTCACGACCTTGTGCTTGCCAGGCAGGTGCTATGCCGCTGAGCTAAATCCCCAGTCCCTACGTGCATTATTTATAATACACTTTTCCATAGAAACATTTTTCTGAACATTTATACAGTCAACTAGTTTCCTTGTTTTAGTTAAAATTTTTTAAATTTTGCATTAGGGAATTTTGGCTTTACTACATAGATCATCTAAACTCTGAGATTATACAGAGATTTCTGTGTGAGTGCACAAATACACATGCATAAATATGTGTGAATATATATACTTATATATTATATGTGTATATACAATACATACATATTAATTATATGTTTATTATATGCATGTATAATTTAAATATTTTAGTGCATCATAGTTTAATTGGTTCATATGAAGTAAACTCCAGGCATATTTTCTTCTTAGATGATTGCCAATTGTGTCAAGTAAAACCATTATTCATCTAAAAAATGTACTCATGATATCTTCTATTTTGGAGTTCTCTATTCAAATTCATTTATCCAGTTTTACCACCAACATTATACTGTTTTAATTATTATACCTTTAGAGTTCATCTTAATTGCCAACAAAGCATTCTCCCTACTTTTATTTTGCAGTTTTCTTTCCTGCATTTAGATAATTTATTGCTTCATATCTAATTTTTTTAACTTTTTGTTCAGTTGCAAGTTATTTTATCTGAAGAAAAGATTTCACCAAAAATGTTTTACAAATCACTGCAGGGGAATGGGAGAGCAACAGTGCTGTAAGCTAACTCAGCAGTCCCTTTACCAGATGGAGTGGCCAGTGAACAGAAAAGGTGTTTCAGAAGTACTGGCGAACTTGTTCATTACAACTTAGAGGACACTGAAATACTTACATTTCTTCAGCATTTCCATGACTACCTGTTCGTGCTGTCAGTCGCTTTTTCTACCCAGAATTGCCTTTGGTAACTTATAATGTTTTGGAACTATTAATTCCTACCGAGCATGAGGGATTAAAAAGAGTTGAGAGAATCTAATTTCTACATAATACAGAAGACTTTCATTAAATGTATGTGTGTGTGTGTGTGTGTGTGTGTGTGTGTGTGTGTGTGTGTGTGTTGGGTAAGGGGGAGGGGTCAATCAATGAGTCAGAAGGGAATAGAAGTTTGACACAGAGGAAAGAAAAATTATAAGAAAATGACTTAATAGTCCCTTTTGCTTGCTTGCATTAGATAATTCCATAAATTTTATTTTAGTAACTACACTTGACATTTCTCCTTGATGTCACTTGTTCAAAAACATGTCCCTAAGCCCTGTAAAGTCACGTGTGCAGAAAAGCATTCAATGCTGTTCCTTTTCTGACATATTTTTAGGAGCCTAATTCCTTGAAAACAACATCAAGACCAATAAAGCCATTCAGCTTTTAATCACAGATGATATAAATCATTATGTCAGTTAACTGCAAGGTGCATAAATCTCTAATAATGTGAATTTATGACACAGGGATGCAATTTGCCAGTATTGGCATTTTAAATTTGATTAGAACGGTGAGATATGATAGAACAGATTTTTACAGTACGGCTTGCAACTACATAAAAAGATGAAAGCTCTGGCGCTCAGTCTCCGCTGATGTATTATTAGCCTCACGTTTTCTCTGTTCAGACTAATTGCTTCTTTACTCTGTGATTGCTGACACACACGTGCAGTTGTGCAAGTTAATAGGAAAGAAGATGGCTCTGATTCACTTCAGTTTTATTATACTCCGTTCCTAAGTGTCTTCACTAAACCGCCATTTTTTTATTTGCTAGTTTAATACTCAGGAAATCCAACAATAAAATTTCAGTGTGTAATACAGTTACGGATAGATGTTCAAATGCAGTACACCCACACAGGAGCAAAGCAAAATGGATTAATTTAAAATAAGGAAATATGTGAAAATATTCACCCTACTAGAGCTTGGTATGGTTCTCTTTACTGGTTCAGAGCATCTCTCACTATAAACTTTCAAACCCTGTGCTCCAAAATTCAGATGCACTTACCCTAATCTTATCACGGCACGCACGCTGAGTCGAGTGGCCTGCAGCTGACTGATAGGCTGGCGCACTTTTAGAATGAAACACAGTGAGGCTGAACCCGTGAAGTAACTAAAATCAGAAACTAATTTAACTCAGTTATAAAGAGGCACCCAAAATCCCTCAAATAATTCAAAATGTGAACCGCAATCCTGAAAACACATATTTGTTCTTTTTTAGGCACGCACCTTTTACGTGCATCACAGTCATTCCCTGATATTCGCATGGGGTCTCATCCTCGTCTTCTGGAGGCCGTGGAGCTGTTATTAAATCCGTGGTTTCACATGATGCCCTTCTGAAGTTGGTTCACCATTTCCATTATGAAATCCATAAGCCTTCAAAACAGACTTATTATAACTGTCTGTGAGGGAAAAATTGCTCCCAGCTGAAGCTTAATATATATTACATTCATTTCCAGTCCAGAACGAAGTCTTCTTAACGTATTTTTTTTTTTTTTTTCCGGTACCGGGAATCGAACTCATGATCTTGTGCTTGCCGGGCAGACGCTGTGCCGCTGAGCTAAATCCCCAGCCCCTTCTTAACATATTATAAAATAAAATTTTATGCCATTTACTTACTGTCTTCAGTTGCTTTTGTTACTATGATAACATGAAAACTAAAGTAAGGAAGCAAAAAATCATTCATTCCACATTTTACCTATTTTCCGCAGGATGCTGTCCCATCTCGGTTTCCAATTTGGAATCAAAATTCCACCAGAACTAGTTCTAGTAACTAGTTACCTGTTCTAATAACTTCTAGACAGACAGATTGTAGGAAACAAAGCAATAAAGTTAGAGAAT